TCGGCTTTACAGGACCCCACTAACAAAATTTGCCCACATTAAGACCATGTCCATCAGGCTACAGCTAACGGCAGCCCTGGTAGCAGTTGCCGCGTGTCACGGTGCACTTGCCCTCGCACTGCATGATCTGGCCCTTCAGCGCTTCCTCCTCTTCGGCCGTGTAGTACGGTCCGCCGCCAGGTGGAATGTGGCACCAGCGGTTGCAACTGCCGAAGCTGGAATCGCACGTTGCCTGGCATGCTGCAGCGCTTTGAGTACCACCGGCAGCCCCAACTGAGCAAGGCGACCCGTGCGACTGGCGGCAGGAGACTGCACAGGGATCCTGGTTGATGCAGTCATCGTTGGCAATCCAGGAGCAGTCGCAGCCATTTGCAGAGCGCTGTGTCATAGTCGTGTTGCTCGTGTTCGTTAAGCCTCGGAGGCCGGGTCCTGCGGCAGTCAAAGCTGCAAGCGTGACCGCATTGAAGCACAAGCGTGAGAACATGGCTCTTCGAGTGGGTTGGTGGGCAGGAATCTCGGACCGAATCAAAAGATCTTGCCCTTGAGCCAGGAACCCACCGTGGCACGATCCAAGCGTCTGCATCGAGACTGTCCGGATCTAGGGCTCTGGGCTTTGGAACTCACACTGACCCCCCAATGCCAGTAAGGTCAGCTTCGACGAAGCAGCTGCCCTTGCTAACTGCATCTTCAGATGGGACATCAACTCACTACGAGCTGTTGGATTTTCTACAAACACCCTGATCGGCCTCCAGCTCCACGTTGGTGTCTGAGGTCTTGCCTCTGCTCCACCTTGGTCGTTGCCAGAATCTTAAACAAGATGAATGAATGGGTGCGAGAATCTCTGCGCGCTCGCTTTGGTCCTCTGACCCGTGGCAACCGCAGCATAAGCGCATCGGCATCAAGAACACCATCAAGAAGGTCTTCTGCCATGACATGTGCATCGGAAGCTCGCATGACAGTGAAGTTCGTTCAATTCCCTGCACACATCAAAATAATAAAACCAGCAACCAGGCTCCAGGCGTGGAGTCGGCAAACAACGGCTCTGTGCTCACGTGGACATAACCTCCAAGCCGAGAGAAGCGCTGACCATTGGCCATCATTGGCCGCTGCTGAACAACGCTGCTTGCCGGGCAACGCTTCGTTAGCTCCCGGAAGGGTAGGAGCGAAGAGTGGTGTGCCAGCGCGTCGCAAAACACGACAAGGCGGCGGGTGCCTGAGGCAACGGGCTGCTGCAGGGTCATTCCGGATGCTATATCTTTGCATGGCTGGCTCCTGCCTTCAAAGGGACTCTTTGGCTGCACTTCTCGCAGCTTGGCTTGGTGCATCTCGCCGCTCTGGTGCGCACGGTACATTGCTTCCTCGTGCTTCCGGCAACTGGACAGACAAAGCACGGCTGCAGACTAAGCCCCCATGTCATAACACAGGTCACAGGCGAGGAACCGTCTTGAGGCGAACTCCGCACAGGGTGCATTCGAAGCTGCCCCAACGATCCTCCTTCAAGTAGCCATCCTCGGCTTACGCTAACAATTTGCTGCCATCCCCTCCTGCTGTCTTCTGCAATCCGAGTTGCTGAAACGTCAGTGCCGTCGCTGTGAGCTCCTGTCTCCTGAAAGCCCCCAGAACCAGGACCCTGAAGAGAGCAGGAAAAGACTCATGTCCGTGCCCAGCCTGAAAAACTGGTAGCCAGTTAGCGCGGCACATGATGCTCACGAACTTCTGCACGGCTCCTGGCTTCGAGACTGCAGACTGCCCTTCCTTCGCAGAATACTTTCGATTGGCTGTGACCGTAATGTACAGGTGCGCACCTGTTGTTCCGGCGCCGCAGAAGATCAGGGCATCCTCATGTGTTGCCTGTGACATCTCTGAAATGGACCACGTCAGGTCTTGCGCTAGACGGAGCCTGGAACCACGACTAGGAAAGAAAAGATGGCATGCCGGGTGGGCTCAAAGCATTGCCATGCCTGTTGCATGCTTTCCGTGGCTGGCTTTCACCTACTGTCCTGATTCGGGGTTCGCTTCGGGGTAGACAAGACCGACGAATGCGCTCTGGCTACTGCCGGCAGGTCACATTGAGATAGTGCTTCACGATTTGCCTGGCTTCATTTCCTTGGGTGGAGCTCTCCAAACGGTGCAACACGGTGCGGCCAATAACATTTCGTAGCGCTTCATATACAGTACCCAAAAAAACACCTCTTTCGGTGGCACTCCGCGAGGCACAGTGGAACTATGTGGCACTGGTTGCAGGGCTTGCTTGCCACAGTATGACAACACAGAGAGTCGTCCATCAAGCAACACTTGCAGCCTTCACAAGCTAAATGCATGAGAAGCTACGAAAAAAGGTGGACTGTCGTGCCGTCGCCGTCGACAGGGTATGCGTATTGCCATAAACAGGAAGTACGCGGTCTTTGATGAAGTCCTCCTGGGAGGCTTCTCTCGCAGTCACATCATGGCATCTCGGAGCGTTCGGACTTCTCGAACTGCCGTATGCTCCAGGCAAGCCACGATCCATCTCAAGGATCTTCCTGACGCCGTGAAATCACCATAGGCCAGTCTTCGCACCCCGAAGGGCGTCTTAACGACATGGTCAATGCCTCCAGTGAACGGACAGATGCTCATGCTCCAATCACGTCCTTTTCGCGTCCCGAGAGTCAAGAGCCCGTGCTTCGTGCAGCGAGGATTTTCACAAGGGAAACATATTGAAAGGATCGAGGTTGCTTAGGGCATCTTTTTAGGCCAGGTGTTGCAGCCCTGAAGCCCCAGCCTTTGCTCATGAGAAGTGCGGCCCGGCCGATGGCTGGTGCGTGCCGACCAATTTGGTGCTGATCCCCCACACTCCCCAACAATTGTTCGGCCGTCGAGTAGTTTGCGCAATAACCGTGGCCCGGTGACATTCGCTGCGTGCTGCCAGTGAGACTTCAGCGCGGTCGGAAACTTCTGTGCTTAGCTCAATTGGACGATTCTTTCGATTCTATTCACTCATGCTTTGCGGGGGCCTTACCCGTACCGGAAAGTGCCAATCATTGACAAGGTGAGACTGCATCTGTTCAGCTGTTCAGCACAATCCCACACGTGGCTATCGCTTCTAGAAGCTAGTCACTGCCAGCTAATTCTGCTTACCGAGAAACATGTGGTCTCCCCCCCTGTTACTGATGCAGCAGCCCTCGTCATTGCATCATCTCTTTGACCTGGGCCTCTCGCTTGGCCGCTTCAGTTTTGCTACAGAGGAAATAGCTCCAGGTCCAGTCTTCTCTATACCCGCCTAACAGATTTCGGCAGCACGCACCTGGCAGCAACACAAACCTTGCATGCTGTAGCTTGGCTACCGGCCAATTGTGTTTGATCTCAAGAACTGCCGCAAGTCGGAAATTGCAGCCTGGGCTTCTTCATGTAGGCGACAGTGCAAAAGACAATTGTCATGTAGCAGCTACGAACGTACTGCAAACTCAGGGCTGTGCATCATCTGTGCAAGAAAAAGCTGTAGCTCTGATCTGCTTTTCGAAATCCTCACAGCGACGAATCGAACTCAGTCGAGTGATATGCAAAGTAGCCATACAAGTGCAGATACAACGATCAGTGCACATGCTGGCATGCACAAGCCGTGATTTCGCGAAGCCCACACCTGGCCTCGTGCTCGAAGTCATAGCGCAGCATAACGCCGGCCACAGAGAACAACGAATCGCAGCGTGTACGAATTAGCTTTGCGGAATTGCTTTCGCCTGACATTTACTTGCACGGCTTCTCGGCACAATATAGTGTGCTACGGAGTTGTCTTGACGATGGAGGTTGCCGTCATGCCGCCGATGCGTATGAGAGGGGTCGTGAAGCCTCTTGCTGCTTGTCGGCTCACGGTGCCGGTTCTCGCCAGCAGCTTCTATGTTGTCGTGTACACATGCGAGACTCACCATGGACCCTGATCTTGTCAAGGCTGCAGTTCGGCGGAACTTACCACTTGATCCAGTAGCAGTAGTAGTAGTAGTAGTAGTAGTAGTAGTAATAGTAGTAGTAGTAGTAGTAGTAGTAGTAGTAGTGGTAGTAGTAGACTTCAGACTTCACGCAGCGGAATGAGTCCACCAAGCGTCGGAACGAGTGCGAGCAGGCTTCGCCCGGTAGCTGAGCTACACAACACATCTGGTTGTCTCAAAGAAGCTCCACAGTGCAACACCGTCTCGAAAGACCTAAAGCATGCTGCACCTGGATGGCTCAATCATGAGTAGTACGCTGGTGGAGCAAGAGATAACATGTGTCCTTCATCCATTCCGGTGTTTCTCGGCACAGAAAAGGCCTTCTGTGGTCATCACAACTCCAATGTCCCCGCTCAGAGTGCAAGATCACCTGATAATGACCTGACCGTGGATGAGTTCCATGGTGACACACTGTAGCCAATCTGCGAAACTTGCAAGGGCGTACCTGTGCGTCCGCACCGGTGAAAAGTGGAATCCACAAATCCTCGTTGACCTCAACATGTGTATGTATCTTGCTAATCCGCCCACCTTCATTCTGGAATCGTCCGAGCTGAATCATCAACACCGGGGGTAGCACTGTAAAAGCATGTACATCTTCTTGTGCATGCCACGAATCCACCAACGACTGTACCTTACATGTGGGTGTAAGCCCCGGTGGTGTGTTGAGCATGTACAGCATCAGTGGCTGAGCGCTATGCCCCGTGTCCTTGGTGATCCCCGCCCCATGAAGAAAAGTTCGAGCTTCCCATGTGCCTTCCACAAGTGGTAGTCGATGTTTGTCATTTATGAAAGACGCAAACTCCACCACATCATGCTGACGGTGCCGGTCCTGCCACCCACTGATCATCGTATTCCACATGAGATCCCTGACGAGTTGCACTGGCCCCGATCGAACACTGTCAAGGAGTTTGCGAAAGAAGTGAGTCCCGCGCCCCAGGACATGATAGTGCAGCTCATTGCCATCATCAATTGCCCATGCCAATGCCTGCACGAAACTATTCATGTAGCAAGCGTTGCCACTGTTTCCGAGCACCAGCCTCAGCGCTGGCCGAGGAGTTCCCTCAGCTTCTGAGCCAGTGGGCCCCGCCTCAGACCCGCCCGCTTGTATGCAAGCCCCACCAGCTGCAGGACGCAGCATCCCTCGAGCTTCTCCATGTGCTCCCATGCCTCGATCCCCGCTCCTCTGCCAGAAAGATCGAAGTAAAAGCTGGCCTGGTTCTCCATGGTCTCCGTGAGTTTCCGTGCGCAGCTGAAGCGAGTTACTACTCCTGTTTTGACTGCTGCGTAGAGCTTCTCGAGGGAGTGCTTCACCTCGGCTGTGGTGAGCGGCTTGCGGTCCTTGTCTTCCTGCAGGATTCGAAGCTGGGGGTTCCATGCCTGAAATTTCCACGCCAGCTCTGGCGTCGCCCATCCCATTCGACTACTTCCTTGAGCTTGGCCTGGTCCTTTCCCAACAGCTCGAGACGGCTGGCAAGCTCCCGAAAGAGAGCCAGTGCCAGTACTTGACGGGCCGGCTGTAAACCTATTCCCCAAGTGGGCGACTCCGCTTGCTTCTTAGCTTTTTGAAGAGGGTTGCCGTCTGGTATAGGTAATACAGGATGGAGTCCTTGCCTGGTTTCATGAACATCATGAACGAGTGATCTTGTTTGAGAACCTGCAGTTCTTCCTCCTGTCGCAGCGCCAGTCTGGCTAAAGTAGTCACCAATTCGTCGTTTTTGCCCCCCTTGTTCTTCTGAGCCTGGCCCTTGCCCTGCCCCTTGCTGTCCTCTGCCGGCCTGCGACGTTTGAGAGACTGTTCCTGAGAGACTTCGCCGAAGAACTCGTTGAGGTCCGGATCTGCTAGCATCCTGCGTGATGTGCACTAATACAGAGCATTGCCATGCCACTGTGCATTTAAGCAGGTGCTCCTTCCAGTCTCGACAGGTCGCGCCACAGTAGTGGCAAGTAGGACTGGCTGTGGCCGTTCTCCACTAAGGTTTTGATTTTGTTCCCGAACACCTGTAGAATGTCTGGATGTGAGTACTGGTAGTGTCTCTTAACCGTACGGTGTGAAGTACACCACTGGCCACAGAGCACACAGTTCTGTCGCATTAGTGGTCTGATGTCGGATAGCTGTATAAAGGCATTGATGCCCTTCTGTGAAGCTCGAACCACCTCCGTGCGCTGACACAGCACTTGAGTTGTAGCATTTGAGAGGTTTGTCGCAGGCATGTTCATGTGTGCATCAGCTTCCTGCACCGGCATCGGCTGTACAATCATCTGCGGACAGCTGTTCTGATTGATGTGCTGGGCCAAAGTCTGCCACTTGGAGAACTTTTTGTGGCACTTACTGCATGTAGGCAGGCCCCCCAATGCATGCTCAGCCTTATTGAAGACTACTGGGCGCTCATCTTTGATGTCATGTGCACGACGAGCATGCGTTTTCAGGGCCGCTGCCGTACCGAACGTGGCCTCACATTTGGGGCACGACCAAATGTCGTGCTCCACCTCCTTCTGTGTTGGCTCCAAGACCTGTTCCAGACTGTCACGAACATATTGACTCCAGTCCTCACTCCACATCCAGTCGTTCTGTAGGGCTGCCGCTTGTCGTTCTCTGTCGTGAGCAGCTCGAAGTTGATCTATGAGACACTGAATTCCGTACTTATTCATGATATAGTCATGAGTGTCTCCAGTGAGATGCGCCTGATTCGAAACAATCGCCCGTACATGTCGCATCATGGCTCGTTGAGCTTCCTGCACGTTGTCCCCCGTAAGACCACAACAGCGCAGACCATATGTCAAGATGCTCAACACACAGCTTTTCCAGAAGCAAAGTTTGTAGCCCACCCCAAGTTTCCTGGAATGTAGGATTGAGGCCATGGCCCATCGTCGATTGTTGGCCTTGGCGACGCGATGCCGCAAGGACTGTAGCTCAAAAGGCCCGTAGGAGATCACGAGTCCTAAGTACTCTGTCTGGGTGACCAACGGCAACCAGTTGGTGGGATCCCGGGGGGATAGAAGAAGCCGCTGTTTGTCTGTCTCCGCATCCTCGGTGTTGGTACTGTTGATCTTCCGAATGTGCTCTTTGTGTATTTTAGACCTCATCGTGCCGACCACTTTGATTATGGCCTTGGTCTTCTCGACGTTGAGTTTCATATGGAAGGACCTGAAGACGTTGAAAGCTATCTTCACTTCCTGCATGGTGCGCTCAAACTGAGCGTACGACAGAAATTTCCACCGAAGGTGACTGTCGTCTGCATACAGGGTGGCATGCTGTCTGGTCCAGTTCTCACCTAATCTGTCCTCTAATGTTACACAAAGAAGCGCTGTAAACGCCGACCACAGAATGGGTGAGGCTGTGCAGCCTTGCCTGAGTCCCCATTTGGGGTGGATCTTGCCCGAGCAGTCCCGATGATGAAAGATGTACTTGACCTGAGTGAGCCACGGAAGGAGGATGTCTTGTAGATGTAGTGGAGTGCCCGCCAAGTCCAGGGCGGTCTTGACGTGTTCCCACCTTGCCAAGTCAAACGCCGCTGAGAGATCCATGCTTATTTGCAAGCCCCCACAGCATGGCTGTTGTATCTCGCCCTCGTATCTCTGGTGCACCGTAAGTCGTTCACCTCGACTGAGCTCTCGGATTTCGGAACAATGCTGAAACACCTGACATAGGGCGGTACTTGTGCTGCGACCCGGAACATAAGCTGTTTGAGGAAAACGCCTGATGAGCCGAATGATATCGGTCTTGGCCTGTCTGAGGACCAGAGCCATTACGCTCTTTCCTAATGGATCTTGCAGGCCTATTGGGCGCCAATCCAGGGGGGAACGGGATCGTCCATGCTGTTTAGGAAGTAGAGCAACTGTCGCGTCAGCCCATTGTTGTGGAATTGTTGGAGACGCACTATGCCACCTTCGGTTAATGTCGGCGACGACTGAGGGCGCCACCTGCCGACTGCAGGCCTTCCAAAGCACCGATGGTGCTGTGCCCTTCGGCACTGCCTTGCGCGGACTCAACGACTGCAATTGGTGCGTAAGTGCCTCTTCCTGGATGATGACGTGTTGTTGTAAGGTCTCACCTCCGCATCTGTCGTCGGAGTCCCCAAGCTGGCTCCATAACGTTCCCCGTAGGCCTGAAGAATCCAGGCAAGTTCCTCTTGTGTGCTGAGAATTCGACCCTCCCTGTGTAACTGTATTCTTTTGCGTGGCATCTTGGGCGCCAGCTGCCGGACCACCTTCCAGAGGCCAAAGGCATTTCCAGCGCGAGCCGCCTGCTGTGCTTGCTCAAGAAGCGAATCTCGCTTGACCTTCGAACGCTGCCTGGACCGCTGTTTATGAATTCGATGGGCCTGCTGAAACCTGGTCCACATCTGCCAGGCGTGCACCATGCCCTGGGCCGTGCGCTGCTGTGCCTTCATGGCCCGGTACAACGCCCACATGTGTTTAGCAGAGTTAGCAAGCGCCTCTGGCTGATCCGGTTGTCGTGGTGGACGAGGTGGAAGCGGGTAATGCTTGTTGGCTGCCTGAATGAGCACTTCATTGGCATCTCCGATTTCACGAAGCTTTGCCGACACCTCCTGTCGCAATGCCGTCAGTGAGGGGGTCGCTTCCGCCTGTTGAGCATCGCGAAGTAGAGCATCTTGGTCAAATCTAACTAGAGTTGTTTCGAGTCTGAGGAGACCCGCTACGTGTGAAAGCGGGGAGCCCAACAGTGCAATGCATGCACTGTCCGAGAAGTTGCCATTCGCAACCTCAAATGCCTTGAGGAGTGGGTGGGTGGGTACAAGAAAATTTCACGTGTGACTACACCGAGCCACACGACTGCCCGGCAACAGAATAATTTCCAGCGCAACCATGATTGCAAAAGGAGCAAATGCAATCCATGAAAACATTCAAGCGGGCAAAAACACCCAAAACCAATTCCATGCAAAATAGACTTATGCAAAACCGCACAAATCAAGAAAACAGATTTATGCAAAACCGCACAAATCGAGAAAACAGTTTTCGCGATAAAGGCACACGAAAA